GCAAAAATTCAACCTTCGGCTAAACCCGAAGAAGTGCACCTTCGGCGTCCAAGGGGGCAAATTCTTAGGCTACATGGTGAGCCGAAGGGGTATTGAGGCCAACCCCGAGAAGATCCAGGCCATCATCAATATGGAGCCCCCACGCAATGTAAAGGAAGTTCAACGGTTGACGGGCCGCCTGGCAGCCCTCAACCGTTTTCTATCTAAATCAGCGGAGAAGTCCCTACCCTTCTTCCAGATCATGAGGAAGACGGTTGGCTTTCTATGGACTCCAGAGTACCAGGGGGCTTTCGACGAGCTCAAACGGTATCTATCTTCACCCCTTGTGCTCTCCAAACCCAAGGTAGGGGAGACTCTCTACCTCTACCTTGGGGTCAGCCCGGCGGCCATCAGCTCTGTGCTTATCCGGGAGGAAGACGGCATCCAGCATGCCATCTTCTACGTTAGCAAGACCCTAAGGGAGGCCGAGCTCAGGTACTCCCCTGTGGAAAAAACGGTGTTAGCCATCGTTTGGACTGTCAAGAAGTTGGGCCACTACTTTCAGGCCCACCCGGTTCAGGTCCTCACCCATCAACCCCTCGGCGCCCTCATGAGGAGCCCCACCAGCTCCTCCCGCATGGTGAAATGGGCTATCTTCTTGAGCCAATACAACATTGACATCCGTCCAAGGCCTGCCATCAAGGGCCAAGCCCTGGCGGACTATTTGACGGAATGTACCGCAAGGGCAGCCACGGACGGGGAGCCCTCGGCTACCTCGGACGACTGGTGGACCCTCTACACTGATGGCTCCTCCGCGACCAAAGCATGCGGGGGAGGGGTAGTCCTCATTACTCCCGAGGGCTTCAGGGCCTACTATGCAATCCGCTTCTCCTTCAAGGTCTCCAACAATGAAGCCGAGTATGAGGCCCTCCTATGTGGCCTTCGGTTGGCTGCCAACATGAGGGCTCGGCAGATCCACATCAAATGCGACTCCAAGTTGGTCGTTGGCCAAATCTCCGAAGAATATGAGGCCAAGGAAGGAAGAATGAAACAGTACAAGGAAACGGCCAAGGAGTTGCTTAAGGTATTTGAGGCACACTCTCTCACTCAAATACCGAGGGCTCAGAACTCCGAGGCCGACATATTATCTAAACTCTCGGCAGACTCCCCCGAGCACATCTCCAAGATTGCCAAAATCGAGGAACTCAGCCTCTCAAGCATCCATGCAAGCCCCGTGATGAACATACAACGACATCAGGAGGATTGGATTTCAGATATCACCGCCTTCATCTCCACAGGGCAGCTACCCGAGAATGAGGCCCGCGCTAAACTGGCAAAGCTGAGGGCTCCCAGCTACACCATCGAAGATGGAAGGCTCTACAAACGATCTTACAATGGCACGCTACTTCGGTGCCTTCATCCAGATGAAGCTGAGGTCGCAATGGAGGAAGTGCACAGTGGCACTTGCTCAGCTCACCAGGGACCCTTCTCCATGTCCCGAAGGCTCATTCTCCAGGGCTACTTCTGGCCAACCATGGCCAGGGATTGTGCTGACCTTGCCCGGAGGTGCACCGCATGTCAACATTTCCAGAAAGCCCCCGACAGGCCAGCGGTCAACTATGCCCCCATCATCACATCTGTCCCATTTTCTCGATGGGGGATAGACCTTGTGGGCCCTCTGCCGAGGGGTACCTCCAACAACAGATACATCATTGTGGCCGTCGACTATTTTACCAAGTGGGTGGAGGCTGAACCCCTCGCCAGCATCACAGAGGCGAAGTGCCGTCACTTCGTCCTCAAGAACATCCTCACAAGGTTTGGCGTCCCCCAGCAGATCATCTCCGACAATGGAACACAATTTGAGGCAGCCCCCTTCTGTGCCCTTCTGGAGGCATGGGGCATCAAACACACCTTCTCCTCCGTTGCCTACCCTCAAGGCAACGGGCAGGTAGAGAACGCCAACCGGACCTTGCTCGAGGGCCTCAAAAAGAAGCTGGAGGCCGAGGGTGGTGGCTGGGTGGAAGAACTTCACAACATCCTCTGGGCCTACCGCACTACCCCTCGGCGCGCTACAGGTGAAACACCCTTCTCCCTCTGCTACGGTTTTGAAGCCAAAGCTCCTACGGAAGTCACCCTTCCTACCCGAAGGGTGATCCAATATGACCCCGAGGTCAACGACAGCAACATGGCCCTCGACCTGCACCTCATTTCAGAACGCCGGGAGCAGGCCTTCATCCGGGCAGAAAACTACCGAAGGCAAGTTAAAAGCTACATCGACGCCAAAGTTCGAACCCGGGAATTTCAAGTGGGGGACTATGTCCTCCGGAGGAGGGAAGCCAGCCAACCAACCGAGGGAGGAAAAATGGCACCAAAATTCGAAGGCCCCTACATCATAGCAGCCATCATCAAACCCGGGACTTACAAACTCAAACGCCCCAACGGGAAAGAGGTCCCTAGGCACTGGAATGTACACCATTTAGTTAAATTTTATCAATAATGTAAGAGCGGCCAAGCCCTCATAACTAGTGAATGTACTATCTAATGGCCCAAGGCCTCCAATTTCGAAGAATGAAGATACATTCAAGACATCAAGCCCTCATACTGACTACAGGCCCCAGGCCTCACCACAAGAAGAACCCCCTCCGGTACCCATTGCCGAGGGCGGACACCATCAACACCTACAACAAACAGTGGAAACACCCCATGTTTTCAGTCAAGACCCCTCGGCACCCAGTGCCGAGGGTACTTCCCCACCTTCAACATCAAAAAAGAAAAGATTAGAACACCAAGTGTTCCTACAGAAGACCCTTCGGCACCCAGTGCCGAGGGTACACCTCCCTCATCAAATATCGAAACGAAGAAAAAACACCAAGTGTTTCAAAGAAGACCCCTCGGCACCCAGTGCCAGGGATATGCTCTCCTAACAGCTTCCAAACATCTATTGGGAAACACCAAGTGTTTCATTTGAAGACCCTTCGGTACCAAGTACCGAGGGTAGACGCCTACATCAACTACAACAAGAGAACACCAAGTGTTCCTACAGAAAACCCCTCGGTACCAAGTACCGGGGGCTACACATCGAAACTAACACCAAGTGTTGTTTCTAAAAGCCGTACCCCACGAGGACGCATATACCGAAGGCGCCACCATCGGTGCCGGCGGCACGTAGTGCCCCCGGCCATTTGCAGCTAGTGTGCAAATGAAAACCCTTCCTTGAAACGCTTTCCGCGTCACTACCCCCAGGGTATGACAGGCATGAGAAATGCCCAGGATTCGACTTTCAAAAACGGAACGCTATCCGCGTCATTACCCCCAGGGTATGACAGGCATGAGAAATGCCCAGGATTCGACTTCCAAACCGAAACGCTCCCCGCGCCAACACCCCAAGGGTGTGGCAGGCCACAGACTATGTCTAGCGCCGAGGGGACGACTTTAAAAAATGAGGCACTTTCCGCGCCATCCCCCAAGGGGAGGCAGGTTACGGACCACCATATCTTGTGCCCAGGAAACGTCCCTCGATCCCCTCGGCACTCGGAAGGTTAACCCGAGGGAGGAGAGCCATTGGTGTATTCTGATGGTCTCCTAATAGGCCCAGCCTTACCAAGAAACCAAGTTTCTTGATGCCTTCCCTTCACCACCAACCAAAAAAAAAAAAAAAGGGGTGAAGGGGAGTAGACTCAGCGAGAAATCGAAGAGTACACTCCAACAATATCAAAGCATGCCGAGGGCTCCCCACGGGAACACCTCCGGTAATTGAAGACTCCTATTTCCCGAAGGATACTACTCAAAGAAATATCATCAGGAAACGGCTAAAGTCCACTACCTGGTCACCTCCGGTCACAAAAACATCGAAGGCTTCAACAATACAAAGGGACTGGACTGTCCAAGGTCCACTAAACAGTACTTCAAACAAACACCGAAGGCATCTGTTATGCACGAATACCGAGGGCCCTTTCCCCATGACAAGGGTCAAATTCTACAACTTTTAAAGTGTATGCCGAGGGCACACACTCCTCATTGGCTTTCTTCACAACAACAGGATTCAACATCAATTTATGCTTAGAAAAATCCTGAGTCCTGAAGGAGCAGCCCCCGGGCACCCGAAGGCTACACAGGGAAGCAGTACTACAAAAAATTCTAAGTCCTAAAGATGGAGCCCCCGGCCCAATCAATATTACAGCCAAGGGAATATGGTGGCCGAAGGCCATGCAATACAACAACGCTTAAAAAAAGAGGGTATTCCGTCCTGAATGAGTAGCCCCCGGGCATCTCGCAAAATGATGTGGAATCAGAGGGCACCTATCACCCGAAGGCACCCAAGGAAGATTTATACTTAGAAAATTTTCTAAGTCCTACATGTTTCCCCCCCCCCCCCCCCGGCCAACTACTCATACGTCAAGGAGGGATGCCATCTCCCGAAGGCTCCCAAGTGAAAATCCACACTCAGAATGTTTTCTAAGTCCTACATGTTTTCCCTGGTCAACTACTCATACATCAAGGAGGGATGCCACCTCCCGAAGGCTCCCAAGGGAAACTCTACACTTGGAAGATTTTCTAAGTCCTACGTATTTCACCCTCATCTCAAGGGGCCTAATTGCCGAAGGCTACCTATCAATCGAGGGCTACAGTACACAAGGAATCAACACTCCAGAAAAATTTCTAAGTCCTAAAGAATTGGCCCCCGGCCTATTCAATATTTCAGGTGGGGCTCCACAGTAGCCGAAGGCTACATGACATACTACACTTGCAAAAAATCTCTAAATCCTGTGCATTGGGCCCTCGGTCCAACATTCACACATCAGGAAGGGAGGCCATATCCCGAAGGCTCTCAAGGGGAAATCTGCACTTAGAAATTTTTTCTAAGTCCTAGGATTTGGGTTACTGCGATCACCCGAAGGCCCTATGGTGTGCTACACTTAGAAAAAATTTCTAAGTCCTAATTGCTGCTGAACCCTCGGTTGCATATCCAACAGAGGGTGCCCAACTACCGAAGGCTCCCAAGGGCTAGCTACAATCAGATGGTATTCTCAGTCCTAAGACATACATACAAAGGAACAAAGACATACATTCAAAACAAAACCGAAGGCACGCATTCGAGAAGAAAGGAATTGGAGAAAGCAAATCATATAAACACAGCCCGAGGGCAATCATGCATTCATCAAAAACAAAGTAAGTGTGAGATTTACAAACGGGCCGAAGCCGAAGGAACAATGTTGTTCATTACAAAACATGTTCAAAGATTTGTAAATACAAAGTCATTCTACGACTACAACGGCATCATTTCCTGGGGCGCCCTCTGCAGCCGGCCTCGATGATGCCTCCGATCCGGTCTCGACAGCGTCGCCCTCGGCCTCATTCTTCAACACCGTGTCCTCAAGGTCGGGCCTCTGAACACCTTCCGGGAGCGACTCACGGACATCAGGCTGCAAGGGAGGAAGGCCATACGCCGAGGGGGAGAAGTCCTTTTGCTCGATGCCCAAATGCCGGGCCATCCTCCGGTAGATGAGGGCCTGGGTGAAGAATTCGCCGGATTCGTAGTACTCTCTGCCCTTCCGGGCCATCCATTCCCACCCAGGGCCCTCGGCCCATTCTTCAACGCAGGCCTCCACGACCGAGGACACCCACATCTTGCGCCCCTCGGCTCTCCAACCCTCGGCGACAAAGGCCTCAACGGCCTCCTCCTGAGCCTTGGCGACGGCTAGCGCTTTGGAGTCCTCGGCCTCTTTAGCAGCTCTCCTGGCAGCGGCCTCAGCATCAGCCTTGCCTTTCTCTGCAGCCTCCAGTTTCAAGCTCATCTGCCGGAGCTCCTCTTCTAGCTGGGCCCCCAGCTTCACCGCCTCTTGGTTCTTGAGAAGGCACTCCCTCATTCTGGCGTCTTGCTCCGCTTTGTGGAGGCGCCATTCTTGAAGCCTCCGAGCCTGTTCGCCGAGGGCTAAGCAAGCCTGCAGAACAACAACAAAAACAGTTAAAGGCAATCCCACAAAAATCATCAAAGGAGAAGATGGAGAAAACCAGGTAAACACTTACAGAGAGGGAGGAGCGGAGAATGTGGTCCTCGAGGGCCGCGTCATTGTAGGCCCCGAGGGCAGCCCTATCCGTCTCAGGGGTCATACCCCTCAGGATGGCCCCCGGGTCGACAGCGCCGCTGGCCAAAGACATACCCCCCGGGAACGCGACTTGGAGGATCTCAGGCAGTGACTCCTCTGCCCCCGCCGGCGTTCCACCCGGCAGCTTCTCCACCTGCATCCCGGAGGCGGGGTGCTCATCAGCAACAATGACCGGGGGCTCCTTCTCGGCGACATCCCCCTTCTTCGGCTTCTTGGTAGCCGGAGGGGACCCCTTGGTCACTACCTTCCTCTTACCGGCAGCGGCATCGCCCTCGGCTTTCTTAAAGAGGGCAGTAATGGGCTTCTGGATGCCCTGTCCCGACCCCTTCGGGTCCTGTTTCTTCAAACGGGCAAGGCCCTTTACATTCACCATAGAGACGGGGATACCTGCACAAAGGAGACAAAGGGTTAGTCCGACGGGTCTAAGCGAAGGGACGATAACATCCAAGCAAAAAAGAAAACTAAGTACAAAATTCTAAAGCCCTCGGCTCCTACCTCCGGCCCCTCCGAAGGCCTTGTTGAAGGGAGGGTACTTTTCATCGGTCTCCCCTATGAAGCGGTACCTCCGGAACCCGAGGGTGTATAAATCCTCCTCGAGGGTGCAGTCTTTGATCGCCACGTTCTTGTTTTTCCCCTCCGGGAACTTGGCCAACTTTAGGCCGTCTTTCTCGAGAGCGGCATTCCTGATCTTTTCGTGCCTTCGGAATCGGTCACGTAGCTCCCTCGGGAATGGGATCTCATCCAACTTCACGTAGCACCAACGTTCCCTCCATCCTTTGTTGGAAGAAGGAGCATCGGAGAATAGTTTGAAGCGGGCAATCTGCTGCAGGTTGGCGTACCCCTCGCCGTTTTCGTGCCCCCCCCCCCCGGCACAGATTAAAACTCTGGAAGAATAGATCCAGGCTGGGTTTCACCCCTCGGGACTTGCAGAGCTGGAGGAACCCCGCAATGTAGGAGTGGCTGTTGGGCGTGAGTTGGCAGGGGACCAAGCCAACAAACCGCAAATATTCCCGAAGGAATGGGTGCAGAGGGAACCTAAGTCCCATGGAAACCGAAAGGACGTGAATAGCAATACACCCCTCGGGCGCCCTGGACAACACGTCGTCGGGACCTGGCTCCACCACTTCGGCCGAGGGCCCCACGTGCAGCTGAGTCACGTACAGATCTGCCCTGTCGGCCTTCGACCTGATCTCGAGGGCCTCAGTGTTCAGCCAACTGTACCCCTCGGGCATGTCTACGGGCTTTCCTTGATCGACGGCCCTCTCCTTCTTCTTGGTAGCGGCCTTCTTCTTCTTCAAACCGGAAACCGCCCTCAGAGGTGTCGGATCCAACGGCCTCGAGCTACTGGCCTCCCCGGAACCCCGAGGGGGGAGAACAGCAATCGTGACCTTCGAGCTCTCATTCTGTGCCTCATCCTCCGCTGTCTGCCATGCGAGGGCTAAGTCTTCATCATCGCACTCCTGCTCGAAGCCCTCGGCTTCAACCTCCGCAATGAGTTCCTTCTGAACCTCCCGGGCCAGGGCTGCATCACCACCATCCGAGGGTTGACCACTGCTTGACTCCACGTCGGAGATGCCTTCGTCCTCCATCGAGGGCGTCCTCGAGATATCTTGAGAATCACTCTGGGGCGACATTGTGACTCTAGTTCGAGGGCTCGTACAACTAGTGTTTTATAAATGTTCTATCTCCTAGCCTAAGGGCGCAGTACAGATAGCTAAGAGGTGAAGGGTAACCGGAGAACTGACCTTAAGAACAGAGGATTCAACCGGGGGCTGCTGTTTCTCTCTCTAGAAAAATTGGCAGAGCTTCGCTAACAATTTTTTCGCACACAGAGGAATGCCTGGCCTTGGGGTATTTATAGGCGCTGGAATCCGGGCTTGGGCCTGGGTTCCGGGCCTCCGGATGGACGCCATCATTACTCACCGCGTCTTCGCCCAACCGGTGACGCCGCCCACGGACAGCCAGCCATCACACGCCACGTGTGCCCCCCCCAACGGCTATATCCCGTCGTTACATATTCCAACGGCTATATTTCCAACGACTATATTTTGGAAGCCCTCGGGTTTTCTACTTCACTCCACTTCATCAAAGGTAGCCTCCGGGTGCACTCACCCAGAAGTGCCCCCGGGTTGTGCCCCACACAGTACATTACACACGCCTTCGGGATCACTCCTTCAGAAACCCAGGGCTTCATATCAGGGTACCCCTCGGGGTTTCCCCCTCAGCACTGCAAAACCGGGTAGCCCCCGGGGAGTGCCTCATTGACGGAGGGCCCATGGCACACAGGTAATGGGAGCCCTCGGGTATCTTCATCACCAACTCATCAACAAACAGTGGACCCCCCGGTAACAACTTCACTGCTGCCCTCATCTGGCAGGCCCTCGATCCCTGGATTGAGGGGCTCCCCTTCGACACCACCAGAACATCAACAGCAAGCCTTCGGCAAATCAACACAGGAGCCCTCAGAAGAGAGAGCCTTCGACATTCCCGTCATTCTCTATTTTTCACCGAGGTTTGACATTTTCGATTCATCATTGGGGGAATTCGGTGCACTCTTTTTCCCTCATTAGGATTTTTTTCCCAAAGGGTTTTTCCTAATGAGGTTTTTAACGAGGCACCCCCCCAAAATGAAACGAAAAGCGTCAGCCTTCGGCCCACAACAGCAACGTAACTGCTTTACTCCTTTTCACCACTTTACAAGTGCCTCAAGGAGTGGGGGACTGGAGGACCCCTTCGGGAAAATCATTAAATTACAAAATCTGTGAAAATCCAACAAACAACAAAGCAAGCCCTCAAGTCCCGACATGTGGGTAACTGAGGGACTGCCTTCGGCAGGGACATAAAAGCAACAACTCCTCACCAACTTCAGAGATCGCGACAGGACAACATCAAAGGGCAAGCACAAATTACTCCTTTTCCCTCAAGTACCTTTCGGTAAAAGGAGTGAGGGACTCCTGATGGAGTATATGGCCCGGGGACCCCCGGCCCACAGACTCCTACTACTCCAGCGAAGGCCCAACAGGCCCAGAAGGCCCAGCAGGCCCAAATCACAGCGCCCAGAGTACCAAGCAGCTCGCACTACGTGCCAGGGGTGCCTTCGGCCCCCTGGCCGAAGGCTCTAAATTCTCACAGAACGGGTTTCTCAAGCAAACTAAGAAACTGGGAGAAAACGGCGAAAACATCAGCCCTCGGCACTGTGAGCCCTCGGCACCAGGGTGCCATCGGGTGGAAGAGCCCTCGGCTACTGCTCTCTGGCCGAAGGTATCTCACTCGATAAGATATCCGCCTCACATGCGTACAGATCACCGTACCCCGCACAGACGTCCCATCCCACAGCCGCATTAAATGCGGCCACATGCGGCTGCCAGCGCCAACCAGTTGAGGTGACCCCTCGGCCAATGAGCGCTTGACACGTGTCCCTGCCCGGCATTTATTGCTACTATAAATAGCACCCCATTTCCCCATTTGTAACCACGCTGAAAACGCTCCACATTTATAATACACTCTCTCTCTCTTACTTGTTTGCTCTGACTTCTCTCTAAGTTATTCCCCGTAATAACCCTTCGGATATATACCCCCGGGTAGACTATCCATCATGTAGATTATGTCCATCAAATCTAATTTAAAAAAACAACCCGGAACTCGGTTAAATAAGTTATTGAAAAGTAATGCGCCTTTTAAAATTTCACAAGATTTCATGAAATTTTGTGAACATATTATTCATGAGTAGTAAGTATTTGATTTGATGAAATTTTGTGAACACGTTATTCATGAAGTGTACATTATCTCCGCAACATTTCAGCTTAAAATTCAATCCAGAAGTCAGACAAATAAATTATTAAACTCAAGGGAAGACGTCGGTGCCTTGGATGACGTCAGTAGGTCTTCGTATCCAAAGTTCACGCGAAAAGGGTTTCCGGTCCCACAGACAACTTCTAAGTGAGTGGGGAAGTGTGGAAAAATGGGGGTGGGAGATTTGAAAGGAAAAGAAGGGTTGACATAGAGACGTCTTATATGGTGTGTCAAGAGTGTACACATTTTATATATACTTTTTTATAAGTTAAGCCCGTTCGTTTAACCTTTTGTTATGGATTTGCGACATCCTTTCCTAGCTATACATACTCAAGGTCCCAAGTGAGGTACAATTCTAGAGGGGGGTACGGTGAATAGACTAATACAAACCTTTTCTTTTTCAACCCTTTCTCTTCAGACAGAATATGTTCCAATATCTTCTGAGAGATGTTGAAATATACAACGGAAGTCTTGACCTCAAGAGTGTGACACTTTATATAAACAAAGGTTATGACCTTTTTAGTTGTAACAGAGATGGTTGGACAGAACACCTTTGTGTGAAGGATTTAGACCTATTGACATAGATCTCTTTGAAGTTCGTGGGTAAGGAGTTTTGATTCACAAAAACCTTTAGAGAGTTTTGTGGACAGTGAATATGCAAGCGTTTGGGATAGTATGAAGGTGAGTGAGAACTGAAGTATGTGTTGGGTGGTGAATATAAAAGGTACACAAGATATATCATGGTTCAGAGGTGGTGTAATCCTCCTACATCCAGTCCCAACTTATTTCAGATGGATTTCCACTAAATGAATATCCCATTACATTTAGTGCCCAATCTACCCTTGGTCCAGGCGTAGATTGTGAGGTTTTCACGAGGAACCACATTGTTCAAAGCTACTCATGTCCTCCAAGGTTTTTCACTAATGGCATTGCCTAGCCAGAAGCTACTCATGTCCTTGCCTCACCTTGTGGATGATCACGCACATACCAGAATGTATACACTAGCCTAGTTTATATGGGTTTAAACTAGTCTACCAGCTAATCTAAGCTCTATAGATGTGTATGAATTGTAAGCTAGATGAGTGGGGTGGTAACCAGAGTGGTGAAGGTGAATCAGCTAGCTGGATGTGTTCGTGTATACCTTGATTCCCTTCGTTTCCACTGGGTTCCAATATACCAGGGTTTTTTTCCATCTGGTGTCACACTTGGTCTTCCCGCACTCCTTCTGTATTTATAGACATTGTTGTTGAATCTCCTCCGTTGGCTGAGTGATCCAATCTTGATCTACTTGATTTGTTCCACTTGACTGGGACAGCATGGTTGATTCTTGTCTTCTTGTGACACGGATCATTTATCTTCACTCAACTTGATTCCTCATTTCTAGGTAAAGATAAAGATGATTTATCTTTATTTCTTTAGCTTGTAGAAATTCAGTATTTAGGTCGAGTGTTGTTCAATGCTTCCACATGATAGAATTACTTGCTTTTAGTAAAATAATTTTATAAGAAATTTTGTCACGTAATTTCTTATAATATTATTTTATATTCCTTTTGTCATTTTGACTGCAAGTGGGTCTTCTGTCTTCTTGTTTTTGTGCTAAGAGAAAAATAACAGATGTCGAGTACTTAATCAGAATACCTATGAGGTCTTCTGGTGTGGTATTAATTAGAGAACCACCTTTGTTGCTGAGTTTTTCTGATATGACCATGACAGAAGGTCTTCTGGTCTGGTGCCAATCACAGAACCACCCCTGTTGCTGAAGTCTTTCTGATATGACCATAACAGAAGGTCATGAGATGGTCTTCTTACTTAAGTATCTGATTCTCTAAGGATTTCAGTTGACTCTTTTTGTACCTTTTCTTTTTGTTTCTTTTCTTTTTGTTTTATGGTATGTTTCGGGTCTTCTCTTTTTAGTATTCTCTCTTTTTCTTGAGTACTTTATCGTTATGGTGCACATTACAAATAAACAGAATAGAACAAATACAAGCTCTAGTCTATTATAGGTATAATATGATTTTTAGCATCATCAAAAATAATATGTAATGATCATCAAAA